TGATCTTGCCCTCGGCCTTATAAATTGAACCTTTTTTTTTTTCCTTAATTAAGAAGATGCCAATTGCAGAAGGTAAATCACACACCCCCACCCATGATATGAACCTAGTAAAGTAAAAAGTGCAGGCCTATGAATCAGCCTAATAATCACTAGCTGGCGAAATCACATTGCTGATGGAAATTTGACCATCTCATGGAAAATTTCCTTTTACTGCCTTTTTGATTTTGAGATTTTTTCTTCTTTTTTTGGTCAGACTTTTGATTTTGAGATTAATTTACCAATTTCCATGTGTTGACCAGGCCCATCCTATGATGTGGCCATTCTCCTTCCCCACGTGGCCCACCCCCGTACCCTGTCACCAATCAAAGAAGTTACTTCTTGTGGCTATTCTCATCATAATTATCAATATTTTCCCCACAGCTAAACAAGGTCATGATAGGGAAAGAGATTGAATTGAAAATGGACAAAAAAAATGGGGGGGAAAAAAACTCAAACGAACCAAAAGAGTGGGGCCCTTTAGGCCCCGAAAAACAAAATTTTTTCACACATCTAAAATTTTCCTAATCAGTGGGCCCCGGGACTCCAGTATCTGGTTGGTGGACAGTCCTTGGATTTGGATCTGACGAGAGATGGGTACCTTTCTCCAGCAGCAAGATCAAGAAAAAACCAAAGAGAGAAAGAAAGGAAGAGAGAAAAATGGACAGAAATTGAAGTGGAAAAAGGAGTTGGAGCATGTGGTCCAGTCAAATTGTGTTTGTCCTCGGCAGTCTGATGATCCTGGCCTCGACCCTCTCCTGTTTTTTCTCTTTTTCTGGTTTTCGATATTTATGACCATCATGTCAATGTTCTCGTCAGTTTCTGCTCAACATTGAATTTTGCGAAATTTTTGAATTTTGGGTTTTTCCAGGCAAGACAAATAAATCATTCTTGGGGATTTTTGAGCCCCATCTGCTGGATCTATCTATCTATCAATCTCAGAGCCAATGGGGTGGGGTGGGGTGGGGTGGTCGGGTCAGGGCAACAGAGAGAGAGAGAGAGAGAGCTCAGAGAACAGCTACCCACCCCGCAAGACCCACATTTATGTCTCACACACATTTTGATTGAATGAGTGTGATGAGATAGTTACAAATTTTGGGTCCTAAATTGAGAGAGAGATAGTGAGATTGTTTGTGGCACATTTAATGTCTTCTGGTCCAGAATCCATCATTCAATCTGACCAAATTGTAAGTAGGGTTCCCCTTCTGCAACAGCTGCCCCTAGGTGTGTGCACAGTTGATGAAGTTCATGTGGTCGTGCTCGGATCGGTTGTTCGTACCCTTTTTTAGAGTAATCACCGAAATGGCTAAATTTTCGATCAATGAGGTGAAAATCCGACTCCTATGGTTGTCGGGTTAGGAAATACGTTATAATGTCGCCAATACGATGTTGGGGTCCTTTGTTTCGATGGCGATTTTTCTGACACGAGTCACCGAACACTAGATGAGGGAATTTCTAAGGGAAAAGAGCACGTAAGAAGTTACCATCAATTCACGAAAACCATTTATGTTTACCAGGATTTCATTGATCGGTGTCTGAAGAGCACTTGCCTAGCAATCATATATGGACTTTAGCTTTCCAAAGACTTTATTGTTGAAAAATACTAACTAGTGTCCTTATACAATAATACTTAATAATAATAACAATAATAATTCTGTTGCAGGTAATCAGCCTGATCTCATCTTATCAACCCAAATTTATTTTCGGCTCAGAGGTAGAGAGCTCTAAAATCTAGGAATAGCAGAAGATACTCCTCTGAGCATGTCAATCCCTAGAGGTTTCACTTTATTTTTTTCCCTCTTCATTGGTCCATGCCATCAATCCCTTGATAGCTGTAAATGAAAGGGAAGCCCCAAAAAGACATAAAATGAAAAGTAAAGAATTCAAGGCTAGTTAAGGGATCACTACTCTAGAGAATCATGCACTTCTCTGTAAAGAGATGTACTTGGGAATAATACTCACGTTTTGATAAACGAAACTCTTATTATTATTATTATTATTGATTAGGTACGCTTAGTAAGTATCTTCAGAACACTCAGAATCATGCCGTAATCTGGTTTACCGCAAATCAGAAGAGTTTTTACCAACTTAAAAACACATTCCTTTGCCTCTAGGGTTGCTGTCACACCTTATTTCTTGCTCTCTTCCAAGCATCAGCTCTTGGAGGTAACGAAAGAAGAGACAAAAAAGGGAAACAAAGGAAAGTATCAGCTTCAGATGGAGCTCGGTGAATCATGCTAAACTTTGCAGCTGTAGCTGAAAATGACAGTGAAACACCTGCTCATTGAAAAGGAAAGACTGGGCTTCACGCAGAGGCCCTGTTCTTTTCTGCGATGTAATACCAAACGCAGACGTGTAATGCAGCATCAAAATCACCCTCTCTGAGGTTACCCGCATTCGCCATGATTATTGTCTGACATTTAGCTTTAAAATAATTCTTCAGGGACAATCTTGAAACACACAGCGCCCCAGCCTCTCCCCCGCCCGCACCCCCCCCCTCCCCCCCCCCCCCCCCCCCCCGGATCTTGAAAGTAACTGAGCCTGATAGTTGCAGGACAACAACCTTTGTGAATGAAGAATTTAAGGCAATGTGCTTTCTGTTGGTTGTAGTGTTCTTTAGGTAAAGGGCACTTGTTGCTTAGGGAAATCTTCAAGTTTGGGATTTTAAGGAACTATCAATGGCCTCGCGTTTGTTATATCTGAAAGCTCCACACAATCCTAACATTGCCTTATTTGTCCCTTTATATGATGAGATAGACAAGGACCGAAATATTGGCAGTGTGTATTTGGTTATGCAATGGCATGTTGGTGCCACCATTTGCTGAGCAGATAATCTTTTTCAAGTGGCAAGATCTTATTCTTCTTTCTCGATTTCCTTTTCTGATCATTCTTTTGACAACCGAATGAAACTCCTACAAAAATGGCATGAAAAGGTTCCGAATAGTTATTTGACTGTTCGCAAAATGAGGTCGATCGGTTTCTAGACTTATTATGAGGTTTACCCTCAGTAACTTTTTCTGCATAAGAATATTATGTTTCTTTAGACAAAAGGTATCGCTCTACAAAAAGTTGGACATAATGTCAACCCTAATCTATATTAAGTTACTATCTTTGGCTAATTGGGTATGAACGATACAAGAAAATCACGTAGCTGGCTTTAGTTTTTTTTGTGTGGATTTGTTAGTTCCCAAAAACAAAGAAATCAATTTGCTAAATGAAAGTTGATTTAAGATATCATCGACTGCACTAAAAAAACAAAAGAAAAATTCTTAGCATAGAATATTATTTATGCGTTTGGAATTAGGAAACTTAGTACTTAAGGGTAAGGTAAGGGTTAGTTTTCTTAGATCACTTCTAATAGAAATAGAATGCTTTCATCTTAGGTGATTATCTAGTTTTCAATTGCTTTCAATAGGTTAAAGAGAGCTTTCAATGACTTCCCTTAGTACGCTAGACTTCTTGCATGTGTTCCTTAGAACTTTGCCCAAAGTTGAGGCCTTCTTATTTGCCTTTATATAGAGTATGTTGCAATAATCAACACTAGCAAATGTGCACACACATGCATTGCGTGTGCGCGAGGAATTGATAGTTGAAGAATTAAGTGAAAACGTTACGAAATGTTTAAATCATTTAGTCTTTCTTATGAAGGTTGTTGTAAAATAGAAAGTATTCATATTTTGACATTTGAAACATGTGAGAGATAACATTAAATTATGAACACACTCACATGTATATATACAATATTCATAGAATAAGTAACTAAGGACATTTGAGGACAGAAAAATCGATGGAGATCCCTCAAAAGTATGAGGTCTTCTTTACTTTATATAGTAACTAAGTGATTTGGGCTTTTAAAGTTGATTGAAGGGGTGAGAAAAAAGCTAATATCGCCAACTAATTACGAAAATAGTAGAAAGAAGTAATCAAGCTTTCTTAACATTCTTGGCGAAGCTTGGACTTTGAGTAAGTATTCATTATTTAGCTATCTCAAATACTATAAAACCCATTTTTGACAAGTTTATATGAAGGAAATTAGTATTATTGAATCTTCTATCAAATGACCAAGCAAAAAGTGCACAAATTTCCCTTCTTGTGATGCCGCAAGATTTGAAAGCAGTCACGACCCATTTGAACAATTCCGAGATAATCACCGATCTTTTTTACCTTAATTCTCGTTTTGATAGGATGAGCTCATGAGAAGTAATGACCATGAATTTTCTCCAGCATTATTGCCATTATCTAAATGAAAACTTCTCAAAACTGCAGCATTATGTGTCATGAGCAACGTATCACAGGAACCTAATAGAAAAGTACTACAAATTCCTATATTTTATTGTACAGTTAACGAATCATTTGTCATCTTTGACTCTAATGTGCAAATCTTAAAATTTTTCATACTTCTTCAAACTTTTAATAATTAATCTACTTTTATCATATCCTCGTTAGGAAGGTCATTCTGTCGAGCCCATGACTTTAACCTCGCTGCTGTCATTATTGTAGTCTTAACAAGGAAAAATCTTCACAGTACTATGATGGGCTCGTAGCTAGTCATGTCTAATATTATAATATCAAGTCATGGACCCCTATAATAATAGAAGGCGACAAATCAATCCACGAGCTGCACACATCGATTTCACCATCTTTCCAAGGTTATCAAACCCTAAACTGATAGCATTTTGATGTGGACCTTCGGAGAAAACACTTTCCACTTACACACAATAAAAGCTCACATGCTGCACAGCAAGTAAAACAATAATGCAGCCCTATATGTATCGGAGGTGTTCTTTATCAGTCATTATTAGACTAACAGATACAATCACACAGCATCATCAGCACCACCCTTTCCTCCCCCATTTACCATTTATAGGAGCTATCAAATGTCTCTCTCACACCCACTCTCTTCCCTCTCTCTTGCACCTACGATGGAACTCCCAAAAAATAAAAAAAAGGAGAGCTTCTGGGAGTTCACAAAGAGCACAGAGAAGTCATTGTCCCAAAACAAATAATGATGTTCTAGCTACTATACACTGTTACAATATAGAAAGTAACTGAAATTTAATAAACTACCTATCAGCTAGTAAGACAATGTACAAACGTTTTCCTTGGGGGTTGGTGTATCTCGTTTTTAAGCTAATTAATGATAATGGAGGAAAAAGAAGGTTTCTCTTTCTAAAATTGTTTTCCAAAGGCAGCTAGATATAGGCAAAAATTTAATTTTACTAATCAACAGCCGCCCAAATCGGTGACTGAGAAAGAGCTCTTCTCCGGCACATTCCCAGCATGGCGCAGCCCCAGGGTGAGGGACACGTCGCCCGTTGCCGCGGCGGCGGTCCCGAACCGAATGAGCGCTGACCCGATGTCCGTGGCGTTGCCAGCGCCGAAACCCGTGCTGCTGCCGATGCCGCGGCGACACAGGTCGTCCATGTGCGCTGGCCCTGCCACCTGGACGGCGGAGGAGATCATGCCGGTGGTTGCCTGGAGGAGGGTGGTGGCCTGGGCATCCGAGAAGGAGTGTCTATTGATGGCGGGTGTAAGTGAAGGGTCGCTTTCAGGGGCATTGATTTCGGATCTTCTTGTTGGTGTTGATGCATTGTTGTTGTTGGTGTTGGTGTTGTTATTAATGGGTGGTGGTGCGATGGAGGAAGGCGTTGGTGTTTGTGCATGGCCACTAGTGCTGAGGTTGTTCCTCGAGCTCTCTGATCTCTCTGCTTGATGGTCATCATCCTCATCTTCGTCTTTGGACTCTTGCTGGTACATCTCCTCCACCATGGGTTTCCACAACCGGACCCTGGCATTTATGAACCAGTTCGAGACCTGCCAGATTTCATTTCGCAAAATTCACAACCCCAAATGCGTTAGGACATTCTTCAATCCACAAAGTTGGGGCTTCAAGGAAGATACAGTTAATAGAAAGGTTCATTTAACTTAAGTAACCAAATAAAGAAAGTTATTGTTCTAGTACTATTTTTTTTTTTGGGTCAGATTGTTTTAGTTCTATATGTAATCAAAGAATTGAAGATCAAATGATTCCTTATTTAGTATGTTTAACAACTGCTCTAAAGGAACTTGTTGAATGAAAAAGGTAATATTTAGGAAATTCGAGGGAGCACTCAATTAAGTATGCTAAATAAAAGAGATGCAATTTTCAAAGTTTTGGTTACACACGCCAGAGAAAAGTCAGTGCCATGAAAATCAAGACATTTCCCTTCTTTGATTTCACGACAAGTGTCCTGACGGGCCTTGCCAGCAAAATCAACGAGAAATGATTGTTGACGAGTGCTTAGAGGGCACTTGCTAAGCGAAAATAAACCTGCTCTAGAAATGGGAAAAAAGTGATTTTGTATGTTTAATTTTCTTATAATGTGCAAAATCCAAACACTGTACCCGTGCCTATTACCTTGAAAACACAATCTTTTCTAAAAAAAATTGCAGCAATTCTTAACAAGTACGGTGGAGACGCTTATTAACAGGACGTTGACGACAACGATAATTATGTCACATAGAGATCGACTCTAGTAGTTAATGATGACTCGAATTGATATGAGCTGGCTAGGCTACGATTTCTTCATATCACAAAGTTTATTAGCCACCGTCACATGTTTTATAGCAAGAGGTTGGTAGGCTTGTAGTTATTAATCTGTTGAATTATTTTTCCTTCCCTAAGCTGAAGTCATGCTCACGAGATTAGAGGTGGTAGTTAGTAACAAGTAGGGGACGGTTTCTTATATCCCACGTTCGTGGGAAACACCCAACTCCTAAGTAGCACCGATGTAGCAGCAACATTATAATAACGATGATAATGACACCATAGCTGTAGCACTAATTTCGCATTATTTATACTTCATTATTGGCACGTACCATCACTAGTTGCGATTTGAATATACTTCTCTAATGAAGTTAAATATTCTTCCAAGAGTTTACTTCCTCATCTTAAACATAACTTTGCTACCATTGTCTTTCTCTATTTGTGATCTTTATTTCTCTGTGCTTATTCATAAGTTTCATTATTTTATTACTTTCTTTAGTGTTCAAGACACAATTGAGAAAACCCTAAATTCTTGGATTTTCCGCAATTACCCCTTATTTTGGAAAGCTCAAGATTGAAGGTAGAAAACCCTAAAATTCTAAGAGACTCAATCATATTATAGGTATTTGACAAAGTCATTATGGGTAGAATAGCTTCTAAGATATGCATGGGATAGCAACAGATTCTCAAACTTTGATTGGATGTTTTACCACACTAAGAGCAATAATTACGTAACAGCTGTTCCTATATTTATTGTGCAAACAATAAGATTAGTTTGCAAAAATTAACGTACATGTTGTGGTAAACTAAAACTGAGCATTTAAGTAAGTAAATCATATTCAATACCCATTAAGAATAGTCACATCAATTAGCGGGTTGCTCTTTATTATGTTTATTTACTTGTTGAATCAGTCTTCATTCACCAACTTGAAAAGCATCATTTTAGGAGAGCACATCTTCTACAGTTTCTCTTCATAAATTGTTGATGGACACGAAAGAATAAACCAAAACTTTCATCAATCTCAAAACTTGACATATGCACCTAAGCTGAACATGTTCCATTAGTCAAAGTTTAAACATGCAAGAAAATTCCCCACGGTACTAAGAAAACTAAGAAATTAAAGGTGGAAAAAGGAAGCATAAGTTGCCTGTAATGTTTCGAAAATAACAAGGACAACTCAGGGAAGAAGTCTGCCGTCGTTCCTAATTATGAATCTTATCGAGTATGCACGTGATATACCGAATGCATCCATTGAATGCATGCATGCGTTCTTGCAGGCATACTGTTATGACCTCGTAATGGACAGCTCTAATTTGGTTTTACTGTCTTCTCTTTATGTTTTTAAGGGTGTTGGTCGTGCGTGTGGGTGGGGATAATGTCACACGAGGTGAGAGAGAGAGAAAATGTGTCTGTATGAAAAAAAAGCTGCAAAGTTTCAGGTTGTCATCTCTAGCTGTTTTTCGACCAAAAAAAAAAAAATCTCTAGCTGTTGTGTACTTGCCTGCTCTCATTATGTCGAGTTCTTTTAACTGGTCAAAGAATTTATGTCCCGCTGTAAGTAAAAACTATAGAATCCAAGGAGAACGAAAAACTCAAATTAAATGAAAGAAATTATAATAAACTACACTTTTTTGTTTTTTTCAAAGGAAAACAGAAAGGTATCACACTGATAATACCCAAATCCATGCAAGTTCAACTATATTTCATTGACCGGCAAAAGTGATATGTTTATATATATATATATATATATATATACGTATATTTATATTACGAGTTTAAATTTTCTTTCGTGAAGACTGAGGTGTGCAGGAGTTTTTGAGGTATGCGTGATGATTGTTGTAGCATAGAGACTCCTCAAATGATCTCAACTTATGTTCGAGCGTAGTGAAATGCATGACGATCTAGTTAGTTTTGAGTCATCTCGTTCCTTACATTATGCATCTAATAAGAATACAAGTGGTGCGTACGAGACTACGAAAGCGATATTGTGTAACGCAGGTTGCGTGATCGAAAGACACATAAAATGTTAAATTGCATCAGACGCCATGAGGAACGTGATGTCATCGCTCCTCGATTCGAAGTGGGTTATGAGAAAGAAAAATGAAAGCGTGGATGATGAAAGGACGAACCTGGTTTCTGGAGAGACCAGTCTGCCGAGCCAACAGGTGCTTATCAGCGTCGCTTGGATACCTGAGAAAGAGACCAGAAAATGACATCACGGTCTCTCTTTACCCCGAAAACTGTATACAATGATAAAGGACGAATCTCTTTTCCTTCTTTCTTTCTCGCTCATTCACCTTCAGAACATTACATAGCAAAACCCTCTCTCTCTCTCTCTCTCTCTCTCTCTCTCTCTCTCTCTCTCTCTCTCTCTCTCTCTCTCTGTCTCTCTCTCTCTCTCTCTCTGCTTTCTCTGCATGGGGCGTGAGAATCTATGTCTCTAAAGATCAGCTGCTGCACTTGGCAGAGGTAAAGCAGAGAAGGACACACCTGCACTCACTGAATCTATATCTTCCCTCTCTCTCCCTCTCTCTCTCTCTCTCTCTCTCCCCATTCATACATCACAAATGCGTTATCCCTACATATCTAGCATTATGGTTGATTAATCTCCTCATTTGTCTGTGCACGAAATCGATATAGTTAATGGCAAGTCGAGTTCGTTATAGCTGTTAGATATAACTCGTTTGTTACGTCGATAAGTACATTGGTTTTGCAAGTTTACTGTTGAGAAGACACAGTGTTGAAGAAGAAGAAGAAGAAGAAGGGAAAAAAAAGGATAGGATAGTGTTTCGAGACAAAGATCGGGCGGGGCTTAAAGATAAACGATCTTTTTCGATGTAACTAAGTTTTTACGGTGGTCAGCCATGGGAGGGACCACTGGTTCAGAGAGAGAGAGAGAGAGAGCAAATGGTGAGGCCTTTAGGCAGCTTTTTGGCCGACGAGACAACGTCCAAGGACACTGCATTTCTTTTCCTCTCTAAGAAAACCCCAAAAAAAAAACATACACCAAAGAAAGCTGTGGAAAAAAAACAAGAGACAAAATTTTCACTTTTCGTAGTCCTTATTCACTAATTAAAGCATCATCAATGTTCCCCATGACAAAGTCATGGAGAACGAAAGCATTGACTCGGGTCCAATTCCACACAAAAACGAAGACTTGTTATTCAACATGTAAAAGAACATGCATGTTAATTAACGTGTGGTAAATGTTGAGAGCAAGCCAAATAAAAGTCTAGCCAAACATAATTACCATTGGAGAGGGTATATTAGGAATAATGTCGATTAGTAAGTTGCATGCATGCAGAAAATCCCAGATTTAATGATGCTTATGTTGAAGAAATTCCATCCAACAACCTGATTAAAGCTACTTTAGTCGCGATGAAGGCGGAGAACTATAATTTGTTCAGGGGGACTTACGGATGCAAGAAATGCTCGAAGAGCCACGCGCGCAATATGTTGACGGACCGCTCCGGCAGGCCCCGCTGCGGCCTCCAGGCCTCTTGCTCCATCATGCCCATCTGGTGGAAAGCCCTCTGCTGCCTCAGGCTCTGGTCAAGCAACTTGAGCCGCGGCGTCTCGCCCTTGGTTATGCCGGAGCTGCCCGCGCCATCCTTCTCGCCCAGCAGCTCGCAGCTGTGCTTCAATTGGGTGGCGATCGCATCCTTCAGGCACCGGAAGTGCCGCGACATGGCTTTCTGCGCAAGGGCAGTGTACGGGACTGCCGCTCCGTAGCCCATCACGAGGTCGAACATGTTCACCACCATCTGCATTTGCTCGCAATAGTGGTTGTATCTTCTCTCCACCTGCAAAAGGACCGCGGACTATGGAATTCATTCTTCTTTCTTTTGGTCCCAATCAGTGAATGTCACATCGTCTGTGTTCCATGATTTGTGAACCGAATTGGGTAGTGATCTAAACAAGCATGCACTTACTTTACTAATTTGAAGGGAAAAGAAAAACCAAAATTAGGTCATGATGGGGAAGGTGAAATCTTTGGGCACTTTTCTAATTAGGAACAAAAGGGCAATATATGGGGCATTAATGTGATTTGATAGTTGATATGATCAGGGAACGAAATATTTTGAAGAGAATGTTCGTCAACTCTTTCAGATTATCATTATTATCCCTATTATGAAAATTGTCGTAACACTCAACAAGGCTTCTCATCGGCTCTTGGGGGGGTCACAGCTAGATGACTGTTTATATGAACGAGAAATTTTTTCCACACACTCTCGTTTTCTCGCTCTCTCTCTCTCTCTCTCTCTCTCTCTCTCTCTCTCTCTCTCTCTCTCTCTCCTTCTTTGTCTTTTCCTTCCCAGTACAGCCACAAGTGACAGGCTTGTTTGGTGTTTACATGCATCGTACAAAAGGAGAATTTAACAAAGAAAGACAAAAAATTAAATTTAAAAGAGAACCTCCACAAGTCAATTCAACTATGATATAAATAAATCGAGTGTGTGTGTGCGTGCTTTTTGCTAATGATAGGTGCGCAGTAGATCTCTTGCTGTTGCTGCAGGAGCACTGTCTTAACCACCTTCTTTCTTGCGTACAACGAGGATAATATCAACAAAACAATTATTGGTGGCTTTTTACTTGTTTACCATATAATCTTGACTCAAATTATAGTAGTCTCTCACCATACAACACCAAACTGAAAAACACAGCAGCAAGTGCTCTCTAAGAGGTTTTTCTTCAACCACCCTCCATGTGTGTGAACTAAAACATGATCAATCTGAAGCAAGAACAAAGAAATACTAAAAATAAAGAAGACCATGAGAAATCAAACCCTATAATATCAGAATTGGCCGGCTTTTTCCCTGTTTGGTGTGTTAAATAGCTCACGGTTAATGTCAAAAGGTCGGTGTTTTCTGTTTGTCGCAGCAGATTAATAATAATTCGATTAAAAAAATCATAATTTCCAATGATTGGGTAATGCTGATGCTAATGCATGACTCTTTGAGAGAGAGAGAGAGAGAGAGAGAGAGAGAGAGAGAGAGAGAGAGAGAGAGAGAGAGAGAGTTTAATTGACATGCCTCGTCAAGCATCGATAAAAGTTTGACCTTCCTCCTCTGGTGCTCCATTCTATCAGCAGCCGATAAAGGAGGGACGTCTTTCGACGACGAAGAAGAAGCGCCTCCACCGACGGCACTAGCGCTACTAGTGTTGTTATTACTTGGGTTTGAACTAGGGTTTGACGAGCTTGCGTTCCTCCCAAACTTGCCCTTCTTGAACTGGCCTCTTCCCACACTGCAAAACTCCTCCAGCAGCTCCTGAGCTGCCTTGAGGTACCTCGAATTCCTCAGCACGTTGACAACCCCGAGAGACGAAGAAGACGGCGATGACCCATAGCCAACATGGACTTGGTGCTGGTGGCTTTGCAAGTTATGCACTCCCAAGTTCTTGAATTGGTGGTGGTACTGAACAGAGGCAGCGACAGCAGAAGCTGAAGCTGAAGCTGAAGAATTAGCTGACCCACCTCCTCCGGCTTGATTGAAGAACAGCAAGCCACTGTCTCCGATCCGCAGCTCCTCAGCCTTGGCGGCCTCCAAGTGCTGCAACGATGATGACAGGGACAGCGACAGGCCTTGGCCCTCCACAACCGTCGCCCCAGAGATCTCGCTAGGGTTGTTGAGCTGGGCTGCGGTTGCGCCACCATCGGGGACCCAAGTGAATTGAGCCGGGGGTATCATGCCAGTCCCATAATTGGGGGCAGCGCTGGCTGAGCCGGACACGTGGAACCCTTGGAGGGAAGGAGGGGGAGATGGGTTTGGGAGGAGCATTTGGAGGGTTGAAGAGGAGGTTGGTGGTGGATGATGATGGTGGTGATGAGGCGTGGGAGGCGACGGCGACCTCGCTTGCGGGTTCATGAGGAAAAGCTGCATGGCTGCTGCTGATTCCGCATTCATGTTCGAAATCTGATTCTGCTGCTGTTGCTGATGATGATGGTGAGCATGGTGATGTTGTTGTGACATATTGCTCTCTCCTCGCCTAAACACACCCGGGTTTTTTGAGCCGTACCACTCACTGGTCGGTAGCGATGACCGGGCTGCCCGATAGCCCGATGCGATCGGCTGCTCCAGCAATTCGGCCGCGGCTGTGCTGCCAGGAGGGAAATTGAACATCTCAGATAGCATCCCAGCGGTCTCGTACGGAGGTAGCTCGCCTGGTTCCTCCTCCATGCCGACCAGTTGTGGTGGCGGAGGCGGGTCGAAGCCTTGCACTCGAAGCTTGTCGCGATAGATCTGCTGGGCTACATGGTGCTGCTGTTCTTGGTCTGTGGCAGCGGAGGCAGCGGCAACGTCGGGTCGCTCGAAGCCGTTATTTGAGAAGGCAAAGATGCTGGGGTGGTGATAGTCTTGGGACATAGACTTGGTGGGGTTGGAGATTGCGATTGAGTGATGGTGGTGAGTCTTGGTGTGGGAGGAGATTGGTGGGAGTGGTGGTGTTGCTATGCCCATATCAGTATCATCTCTCTCGCTCTCTCTCTATCTTTGCTTTCTTTTTAACAACTTAGCCAGCCACACCCAAGTGATCTCTCTCTCTCTCTCACTCACACACACAATTCCTCTTACCTTGAGAGTTCTTGATCTATTGCCCCAATTCAATCTTGGATCACACCGTATACACACCTATAGAACTCAAGAATCAAAACCAAGCAAAACCATGATTTAATCAATACGAATTTCAATAAAAAAAAAACCAAGAGCTTGCAGAATTGAACAAAGGGAAGAGAAGAACTTGTTCAGGTGAGAGAGGAAAGAGGCTGAAGGGGGAAAATTTTGGAATCTCTTCCTTTGTTCACTTCACTTTCATCATTTTCTCAACTGTGTCTCAATCTCATATATATATGCGGGCGTGGTTGTGTGTGTGTGTATACCTGAGTATATACCTCTCAAGAGTTGCAGAGCATGAAAGGATGTAAAAGCTCTCAGACATCGCTTTCCCTTCTGTGGTATTGAAAGCTTCTTCAATTCCTCCACTATCTCTTTCTCTTCCGCCCCTCTCTCTCTCTCTCTCTGCGTATGTCCCTCTGTCGTCTCTATCTTTCTCTTTCTCTCCTTTTCTATTTCTCTTTGCTGCTATTTGCAGTGAGTGTTCTCTCTCTCTCCCTCTCCTTTTCCTTTTTATTTTGTTGGGACAAATTGCGCTGTGGAAAAGAGGAGGGTAGAGAACAATATTAAATATGAAGGGTTATTCATTTATTTATTTTTATTTTGGGGGGGACTGATATCTCTCTCAATATGAACCAAACCCAACCCAGAGAGAGAGAGAGAGAGAGCGAGAGCAGAGAAGAGGTCGCTATTCTTCTTTCCTTCATCACCCTCCTTTTCAATCCACCTATATGATTTTTATGGTTTTTTTATGGATATATTATTTGTACTTCACTGTGACAATGATATCTAGATCGAATAAATTATACCCAAGTAGTAGAAAACAAAAAGAAAAAGTCAGTATAAGCAAAAGGGAAGACTTGGGTTATTAATACATATAGATGAGATGACCAAATACAACCTTTGTATAGAAAATGATGGATTTCGGAGTTGTTTACTCGCTTAGAACTTTCAAGGAAAAACGAGTATGTACACGGACCTCTCCGAATTGTATTATTGATAAAACACTCTCTGAACTTTCATTCATCACATCGAGCCGGTTACTCGTTTGACGCGTAAATTAAATTTCACTGAAAGCTCGAGTCCTCAGACAAAATTGATGCACCGTGATTGACCCTGTACTTCATACCATCCTTGAGATGACTCTCTATAGTATTTCTTTCCATCATCGGCGACGTACGGTGCCCGATTATCATAATTCCTCCATCACGAAATGACGAAATCGCCCCCTTTCTCAAAGTAGTGTCCATTCTCGTAAAGAGTATTCTCTCCATCCTTTGGAAAACCTACGCAAACTACGGGATATGACATGATGAATGGAATATAATAAAGACAAGGTCAGTAGAGAGTCCCATCTCAAATGATCCAAAACTGCCACCATTCACACTTCCAAATTCCCTAACGCCCTACCCAAAATAATTTGTCTTATTTAAGCGATAACCAAAGTTGGTGGGGCTATTTCGGTCATATCGAGTTGGCGCCCTCTACTTCATGGGCTAAACGAGAAGATGGCAAAATACGGTAGGGTCGTAGATGGAGCTTAGGGAAAGCCAAGAACAATCGGTTTATCATTAAAGTAAGAACCCTCCGCACGTGCCGTAAGTTGTGTGGCTCTTTAGGCCAAAGTTAGGTTTTGTGGTGTTGTGTGGGAAGGTGAAACGAGGTTTGATAGCCACACTTAACCGCTTTTTTGCGAAGGCGTTGGTACGTCAAGGGATAGGCATGTTGGGCTTCTCTTTTTCACTTGCTTTTGATTTGTAAAGTTAGATCGATAATAAGCGTCTCCTTCACTCATTTCTCCTTCTCCAACCATTAAATCCCTTTTTTTTTTATTGATGTGTGAGTGACGGGTATGGAACAATGGAAGTTCCCTAGCGTTAAATCACGTCTCGATCCGCAAGCTTGAAGCATTTATTGGTCTAACTTAATCGCAATCTCTCGTGCCACGACGATTTCATGTCGTCGGAGAGATCCTTGCCGTATGATATTTGGACCCCTCATTCACCTTTCTGTTGTACAACTTCAAAGATTCAAAATATAGCTAAATGATGCTAGAATACTTGAAGCCATCGATGATGCATAAGTTGCTACAGTTAAAGGAGGAGGAGATCAACAAAAATGGCTCGCGGTCTACCGAGTTTTCCATGCATGACCAATGTTGTCTCGAAAGATTATTTGATGAACCTAATGCATGTATCGACACGGGTTATGGCCGTTGGATATAGTTGACCCTTGCGTACCACGTCTTGACCATGCATCAATCGGGTCACGACCCTCTCCACAATAATCTCGAGACGAGGGAAAAAGAATCACAGGTCGATTGCTAAGAAAGATATTAGAATGACTACTTTATGTAGTACTCATAGGTTGATCAACCAATCATAAGGATGTGGAAAAAGATGGTGTGCCTTGACAATGGCAAGCACTTTTTTGTAAGTTAACTAGTGGGCGTCTTGTGTCTCATGGAAAAGGATATGTACATCGATACTTTATTTAATTATTGAAAAGAAGAAGCACAGTATTTCAGTAATGGCGATGCTTTTGTACTTTTACTGTTGTTTATTCCCTCTTTGTTTCTCTTGTTATAGCACCGAAAAGTGTCTTTGCTTTAAAAAAAGAAGAAGAAGATGGACGATGAATGGGGAAAAGTCAGTTGTTCATACTGTGTGCCAACGCTGATAAGTCTGTGATTAAAGTCCTTACGTTAATAACTGTGGCACTTTCAACCTCGGACTTTGTCGTGTGAATTTTGGGATCTCAATGGAAGTGGTCAGTAGGGACAAAGAAAGAAAAGGAGGTGTCATCGGCCTTTGCCATATAGCCAGGTCACAGACACATGACATGAGGCCAGAACCGATTCTTTTGCTACCATTCTTTTGCTGAAACGATACAGGGGGAATGCAAATTCCTCTTGGCCTAGATTAAGATGCTGTATGAAATATTGGTGACATCTTAGGGTTATAAGGGTTTCATTGATGGAGAAACTATGTTTCTTTTTCCTGTTTTGATGAGGAGGAATCTCACTTTTGGAGGATGAATTTCATCCTACTTACGGTGAACTAGGTTTGACGTGATGTGAAATATGGATGAGTAGCGCAAAACATGGAAGAATCACTCATGTGACGTGTGACAGCTTGACCTGATTAGATATGGCAAAGTCTCTAAAAGGAGAACTCGAATGGTTGTCTTTGTAAGTGAGTCATTTACTTTAACACTTCAAAAGTTTTCTCCTACTGAAAGTAGGGTTTGAAATGTTACATTAAACAAGGAGGATTTGATGCTGATAAGACAGTCGTTATATATAACAAGAAGAGAGTTAGAGGTGACAAACAGGCAAGGCCGCCTACTGCGCTGTCTTGCTCGAAATGTCATAGACCATGCCAGGCACAGAAGTGTTGACCCTTGACACAGCATGACCCAAACGATTTATTGGAATGCGTAGCAAAAGTTCAATACTTTCATCTAGTAAGATCACCAAGAGATCCTAAGTCCGAGCTATTAATATATTAATGTGGACCCACCTCACTCGAAGGCTCAAGCCAATAGGTGTCGAGCTAATTATGATAAATTAACTAACCATCTCACACCAAATCTTCAATGTGGGATTCTACACCTTTCTCACATGCACTTCAACAATCTTCATTCACATGTGAGACTCTTATATTAGGTTAACTCTCCTTAATCTACATATCCTTCTACATTAACATATATTTAGTGGTGATCGGTTTCTGGTCCAGTCTTGTCCCACGTAGGAACTGGGAATTGGACCAAAAGGATTGGTTTTCGATTTTTGAAACCGGTGGCACACACAAACCTGAAGTAGGGTCATGGCGTAGGTGATGTAGTTGTGCATCCTTCGCTGACTCATAATCCTAATCTCGTTCTCGTTAATCGGCATCTCCTCTCTCGGCTTCTCCACTCTCTAGTACCGATCCATCTCCTCCCTGAGATTCCTCTAGCACCACGACATCGACCATAAGGCCAACCAAAGAAACAAAAAGAAAAGGAGGCAAGAGAAACCGAAGAAAGAAACCACACGCCATAGCTGTTGATTGTTGAGATACACGTGTGAGTTGTGTTAGAGAAGTTTCACATCGGATAATTGATGTGGTGTTGAGCAGTTAATATATCCTAGTTGACCTATAATTCATTGGCTTGAGCTTTTGAATGAAGGTTGGTCCAATTGGATATGTTGACAGGCTCGGACTTGAGGCCCTCTTGGCGATCTCCCCAGGAGAATGTATCGGACTTCTGTTGTTGCGGTCCCAACAAATGGTATCAGAGCCGATGGTTGATTGATGGGCCTCTCCAATCTGTTCAGGTGTTTGATGAATATCTCAACAAAGAAATCTCGTGATCGATGCTTGTTTCGGGTGGAAGTTGCCATTACGGTTCGTCTAGCGAGAAGTGACCATGGATAGTTTGGTCTGGTGATACGAGATAGAGACCACGGGTGATGCAATCCTAAGTTAGCAGTTGATGATGATTGTTGTGCATAGTTGCGGGTGCATTGCAATGACTTGGAGATTCAAGTTGAGATAAGCTAATGCAGAAGAATACCTAAATTAAGATGGAGCAAACCTAACACTGAGCTCACACGTGAAGGGGAGATTATTGATTGTTGAGATACACATGTGAGTTGTGTTAGAGAAGTTCCATATCGGATAATTGATGTGGTGTTGAGCAGTTAAAATATCATAGTTGGCTCATAACTCTTGGCTTAAGCTTTTGAGTGAAGGTGATTTCAATTGGGTATATTGACGGGTTTGAACTTGAGCTCCTTCTTGGCTATCTCCTTGGGTAAAGTTATCGAGCTTTTCCTGTTGCGGTCCCAACAGTAGCAATACATTGTGCAGCTCACGACGTGCACCCAGAAAAATCAACAAAACCAACCAAAACCGAAGCAACCACAAAATAAAGAGAGAAGAAGACAAAGCTAGGGTTACCAACACTAGGATCTGTCACAAGAAATGAAGGAACGAGACTAGTTAATTTACCGTGTGACAAAATGGATAGAGAGAGATCTTTGTTCTCTTCTTCTTCTTCTTCTTCTTGGCGAGCAGATTGCAGATCTGGAGGTTCTTCTTTTGTGCAGATCTTTCTGCATCAACAAGTAGAGCGTTTTACTGCACTTGAATCATTAGGATCAGATCAACCTTTCCCCTTTGGTTTTTCCCCCCTGTGCACAGAGAGAGAGAGAGAGAGAGAGAGAGAGAGAGAGAGAGAGAGAGAGAGAGAGAGAGAGAGAGAGAGAGAGAGAGAGAGAGAGAGAGAGAGAGAGAGAGAGAGAGAGAGAGAGAGAGAGAGAGAGAGAGAGAGATAAAATAAATAAAAAATAATTGGTCTGGTCCGATCAGTCCGATTCTCCCCTGGAATTAGGAATTAGACCGAAAATCACCACAATCTGTTTGGTCCGGTCCAAGCGATTCCTGATTTGTGCGGTTCATGTTGCTCACTCCTACATATATCTCAACTTAATCTCCACTCCATTACGTCGAAGGCACTGCAACACCCACATTCACGTATGCTCTC